ATTCTGAGGCATACCTTTAAGAACATCCTCAAGTTAAAACACCATATCCCAGCAAGTAAAGTTTCTGATGAACGCTTGACTATGGTTTGATATATAGCATGTTCATACAATGTTTCCATAAACTAATCAGTTGCCATTGAGGAGAATTTGAAACTAGCACATTAGTACTACTCTGTTCGTTGTGCAGGATGTACTACTTCGCAATGAGCTGCATAGGGTAAGAAATTTACATTTTAGAGCACAATTGATTATGCGTTTTTAACCTTTCTTGCAACTAGATGAGTGCTCCGACCGTAGCTGTTTGTGTACAAGCTTCAATCGTAATTTACAGGATCACCATGGTGTTCGTAGAACGTGGCATTGCAAATATTCTTATTGTGGATTATGAGACGAAATTCAGACGATATATAGGCATAACCCTCAGTGTTCAAGTCGTTATCTATTCCGCCATTGCATCATTTTCAATCACATTTGGCGAGTCGTGAATTCGTCATCACGTGTACATGCACCTGTCCGGAAGGCGTGTGGCTGTGGACCTGATAGGTCGCGCGGTCGCGACAGTGTGTCAACGAATCTAGCTAGCGGGTTACTTTGTCATAACTTTCGGCCGATTTTCACTTTCGTACTAGAAAATCGTTACACGGCTATCAGCCATCTATGCTGTTTCTACGCGGCGTTAGTTTTGTAAAAATTAGTATAGAATCGAATCACGGACATGTTGATCAGGTTACCAAAGTGCATCTGCGATAGGTAGACATGAAGATCTGCAACCGCACCCTTCACGGCGATGAGGTTCAGAGTGAAATGTGTCATTGGTAGAGATTCAATCAAAGTTTCAGAATATGCTCCATGGGTGCTTATCGCGATCTGTGTGGTTGTTACCAATTCTGTGACAACGATGGTTAGTTCATTACATAGATTATTTCGCTTGCATTCACTGAAGTAGCCGTTAGAAAAGAACAGTTAAGTTCTACATTGATTTTTACTCATTTTGAGTTTCAAGGAAAAGTTTCCACTGCTCAATGTTTGTGCAGACTTTGAGGCGAATGCCAGTTGTTTTAGGCTACGGGCACTCAAAAAAAGGAGATAACATATGAGCAAAATGACTGGAAAGTAGAAGATAGCTCATGTCGCCAATTTTACAGTCAATCCTCTGTCATTTCGTCAATAGCACGCCAGTGAGAAAGTAGTGAAGTAATAAAAATGTAGAAAGAACGACACAGTCAGCGAAACAATTTGAATTTTTCCAATTAGCGTTCACGATAATTGGTGCGAAAAAATTCCTAGCACTCTTGCTTTTAGTTTTCAGCTGGCTTCATGTTTCGAGATCGCTAATTGTTTTGTAGCATTGTGTTTTTCAGTATTGTACCTCCAAAAAACTGTTGAGAGAGCACCACCCATCCTGCTTGTCAGGTGTTCTTTGATGCGGGTGGCGGGTACCCTTCCTGTTTCTTAATGGTTTGAACATTGCACTGCAACAGAATCTAGTCGCAAAAATAAAGAAGGCACACGTTTCACGCGGAGACAGATACACCAAAGGTCATATCACAGAGCTCTAGAAGAGCTCTCCTGCAGAGGGATTTCTGATTGATTGGTATATCCAACCAAACGATAAAATAAAGGATAAAGCATTTGCCGTTGATCAATCCCTTTTGGGATGCGGCACGCATTCTACTTCCATTTGTACATTCGTAGTGGCGTTTGAATGCGATGTGGCAATGACTTGCGGGGGCCAGCCGATGTACAAGTCAGTGTTTTTATCCTCCCAGACAAGTCTGGTACCAATTAACCGACCCCGGAGGGATGGAAGGCTTGGTTGGCCCGGGCGACTCACGACCCAGGATTTGATCCCCTACCGCTCGCGTGGTGAGCGCA